GGGGGGAGATGGAGGGGGCTCTGACCTCTGCGGCCATAGAAGGGGGCAGTGATCGAGATTGTGTTTAACGTCGCGTCATCGCCATCAGATCGCCGTTATGTTATATACCGGGTGTAACTGTGAATACGCAGCAGTGTTGCGGAATTGCCCACTCTTTACACCCGTAAGGGGCCATGGCCCCTGCGGCCATTCACAGTTATACCAGGTTCATGCTCACCCAGAGAAATGGAGAGCTCTATTAACGGAACCAACAATTTAGTCCTCACGGTCATTTTAACCTTGGCTGTGCCGGGTGCCGGAAGTAATCATATCATGGTTGGTTGCAACAGCTTCCGTTTTTCTGGGTGCTGCTAAGTGTATTGTTTTGTCTGCGGCCACGGCCACCCTTCTCTACACTCGCTGAATGTGATGTGGCTTTACTACAGACTGCTCATCGCCTACAAGAACCTGCTGCGCGCCGCCGAGCACACGTCCGTGTCGATGGTGTTCGGCCTGCACTACTTCGGGCTGGGCCTGCTGCCGGGGAGGTGCTTCTCCCGGTGGGCGCGCCACGACGCGCTGTCCCTCGCGCACCTCCAGTCCGCCAAGCTCTTCTCGCCCGCCATCGAGTACCGCCTCAAGCGGTTCGAGTCCAGCGACGGCAACCTCGCGGCCGACATCCGGCGCTGGTGAGTGCATGGGCGCGGAGCTCTCTCTCACTAGCACACTGAAGGTGCCGTCGCGCGGACCTTGTTCTTTTCCGTGTGCGTCGCTTTGAGGGGGGCTTCCAAGTACACATCTCAGCCGACTGGTTCAGAAGATCGTTCAAGAGGGGCTTTCCTATACCTCCCGTATAGCTCCGTCCTTGTTGCACTCATGGGCCAGGTATAGGAGAGCCCCCCTCTTGAACGATCATCTGAATCAGTCGGCAGGTTAGTGCAGGCGCCGGCTGCTTGCTGGGCGCCCGGGCCCGCCCCACACCCTCCAAGGCCCCCGCCGTGGCCGTGTTTGCTCGTTCCGTTGATTGAAATCCGGGTGACAACACCCGCTACCGCCGCGGTGCGGCTGCGGGCCGGGGGCGG